AGTGGCAAGTGAGTGGCTATTTAGGAACTGTTTAGTCATTAAATCTTTAGAAAACTAATTTGAAATTCACTGAGAGGAAACTTAATAATAGACTCCTCCCAAATAATGTGGAACTCGCCAGTAAACAAAAAAACCTCTTTAAAACAAATGATCAGAAAAATAAAAGTCACACAGTAATAGCAAAGACAAGTTAGATAACAGGTCTCCTGGATGTGTGTTTAACGCACTGCACAAAAGCAGCTTCTATCATTTCAACTGACATGGTGTATCTTTTATATTTCTGATTTCAAAAGCCATGAAATGTGAATAAATTCTCCAGCAAAATGTTGACCTTTAATACTAATTGAAGCTTTTAAGTCAAAGTACAGAAGACATAAACTCCCACACATAAAAGAGATAATAAAGACACACTTTTTGCCTTTATTCTTTTTTCCTGCTTTTTTGCCTTCTCATGTTTGTGATTGCTTTCTGATTAGACTCTTTTAATATCCATCCCAGTGGGGGACCGTTACCAGGGATACAGCCTTGGCTGAAGCACAGCATGTGGCTAACTGTTACAGCTAAGATGTCCCCAGGTGATTTTTCATTAAATGGTCATAAAGGGGGCTCTGTGTGCAGCAACTACACTTAGCCTCAGATCGTCCCCACCACGGACAATTTGAAGGTGCTATTGCCCTATAAACAAAACCACAGACAGGTGTAAGCGAGGAAAACAGGGTGGCGATATTGTAAATGAAAGCTGTTTTTTTCTGCTATTTTGAGAATGATGTTTTGATTTTTTTGTTTGTGTTTTTCCCCTAGCCCAATTTGGAATGTACAAAATCCTCTGTGCTGCAGTCCTCGTCTCTGTTAATGCCGTTTGCCTGAGGAGAGATGCAGACGGGCATGTGCTACCTCTGAGACATGTGCCACCAGCTGCTTCTTTTCACCTCGACTTCAACAGCCTCCCACCTGCAAACATGACCAATTATGTTTGCGTGAACACACAACCAAGCTGGAGGTACTGCGACTGGGAACTGAACCAAGTTAAAGCCGTTGTTAAATATTTAATCAGCTCATGTCTCCAGCATGTAATGAAAGCCTCCTGCTGATCATTTCAACTTGCAGACATCCAATCCTGATCAAAAACTATTAGCACATGACAATGTCAAAATCTGAACATTATGCAGATTCTGTGTAGTATGCTGTCAAGTTTTCTACTGCATTGGAATTTAGCAAACTAAGGATTCTAAGTGAGTCAGATCAACCATCAGCACAATATACTGCAGCTTGACAGAAAACTCAACTGAGCCATTGTCATGAAAAATAGCAAACGCTGCAGACAGATATATGAGGTAGAGACTAATAAAGAGGTGATCAGCACCACAATTCTTGATGGATCGCTCGCAGTTTTCTAATTAGTCCCAACACTCTCACTTGAGCTCATTTGTGATATGCAATAAAATCTGACAGATCTGCATTATCTGAATGCATAAACAATGTAAAAATGTATAAATATATACAGCGTGCTTACTGCATTTTTTGCCAAACTGCCATAAAAAATACAATGAGAATAAAAGCTTTAACAAATGCCCTGTTTTGCCTGATGGCATTTTAGTGGCAGGCACACAGTACAACTCATGAGGCCAGCAAAAATAATGTTTTGCACTACGCAGATAGTTTTATGACATTATTTTTCTGCTGTGCAGCTCATAGCACCATGAAACACAATTAAGTTAACATCTTTTGCCCAAATGACAATGATCTCTGATCTCACTACATGGCAGAGCAAGAGAATTTTTTCACTGGAGATTGCAGATGTGTGATATTAGTATGCTAAGTCGCAAATGGAGACCCATTTGATAATATTTTCATTTCTCGCACATGTCAATTTCTAAAGTTGAGCTACTTATGCAATATCGCGGTTCCTAAGCCCTGCTCCTTTGTCCCCAGAGTCCTGCTGGTTTAATGTCCTAACAGGTAGTTAATGGCATCCAGCTGGTGTCCACGGTGTAAATCCCTCTCTGAACATACATCAAGAACAAAACCCATTAAGGTTATGTGTCACGACCAGTGACTGTAAAGCATTTTTGGTTTGTGCAGAGGGGATGGAAAACCACTGGGACTTCAACGTCATCTAACTTGGGAAATACCATTATCATTATTTTTAATATTTAACTTCAAAGGGACTTAAACTGTCTGAGTTTCCTATAGTTTTAACTATTGATATAGTATAGTAACCAAATGGGATATAATAAATAAACACCACAATAATGCAGCACATTAAAACTGACAACAAAAAGTAGGAATTTCATTTGTCACCTATATACACACACAAACATAGAAAATGAATATGTATATAGGCAGAAAGCTTTTAATCAGCTTCTTTGATGTACATACAGTAAGTGCACAGCCATGATTTCGAATATGAAAAATCTGCGACAGCAGAGTGTGAAGTCAGATTGAACCGAAATATTACAAAGCAGCATCTTGAAGTCTAAATAAGTTCATTCTCACTCCTGAAAAACACTGAAAAATTCAGGCACATTCACACTGTGAGGAAAAGCTGCGCACTCTGCCAGTCAGTCTGTCACATCACTGTGCCATCACTCTCTGTCGCGCACACACACACACACAATAGAAAAAAGTCATAAAGGAGCATGCAGTTAAAATAAGAAAGAATTGTTGAGTGCCTGCATGTACACACGTACCCATATTGTGTAGTTTGTTGAGTGTCTATAAATAATAACACTGCTTATATCGCACCAATTTAATTAGAGTTGCTGAGAAGTGCAAACAAGTTCAAGTGGACATGTCAAGGCATGTTCAAGATTACTTGCCAGAAATTGATTTTTTCTTTGAAACATCCTGTGAGAGTGATTTGCAGAGAGAGATGCACATGAATCTCACAAGATCAATTGAATCCAGTGATGCTAGAGTTACAGTATGTACCTACAGATCTTTGCCCACGATGCCAAGTGCAAAATTACCCTTTAAACATTGTCTTTGTAGAGAGCACCAGTTTGCAGTGTTAAAATCAGCTCTGGGGACCTTTGCCTCAAGATGAAGATAACGCTTCTAACCTTCAGAGTTAATCAGAGTAAACAGCAGCTGGTACCCAGAAGGGTACTTGAAAGTACAAATTCTGCATCTTTAATATTCACTGTAGCTCAGGCAGAAATTCACATGTTCACAATTTTTCAGTGCTCGAGTTAGTAAAATTCAATCCCTCACATCCAGCAATTTCACATTTGCATTATTTATATGCAAGTAAATATTGGCATGTCTCATACAGGGCAAAGAAATACTGCTTCACATTCGAAACAGTTACTTTTTGCCAGTTGTCTGTTTGTTTAGATGAAAATCTGCAAAGACGTGGGATTTATTATAATTTTTTATCAAATGTAATATTAGATTTAAGCATGAAATATACCACCCAGGAATAAATAAGTCCTTCAATTTACAGTGTGTGTGCAGTTTCCTTTGGCTGTGTAGTTATCATCTTGTGTTGAGCAGTAAATTGATTCACTCTTGCAGGACTTCACATCTGTGAATATTTACACACTGAGGACCCAGTATGAAAAAAGTCCTGATCTCTCAACTTTAAAAACAAAAGAATATAAACCAACATTTGACACTGAAAAATTAAAGATATTAAAGATTAAATCATGACGCCACCCTGTTACACAGACCTAGAAACCGGACAGCGACCTCTCATACCCATCAGTTACCAGGGAAAAATGTATATATTTGCCAACTGGTTGGTGAATATACATTGCTGGGGTTTGATGACAGTACCTTTATGCACACTACCTGTGCATAAAGGTCAGTCCATGGCCCCCTCCAAACCAGAGAAAAACTAGAGAAAAATGCTCAAAATGAGATACACAAACCTACACCAAAACCTTCCTTGTGATTGTTTTGGAGTCTGGAAGGTTCCCATAGTTACCTGCAATGCTTCTGTGCATGGAGGATCTCAACTTGTCTGCAAATGCTCATGAACTACTCAGTGAGCAGCAGTAAAACTCTGAAAAGTGTAACGCAACTTTCACTTTGAAGACAAAGCCAAAATCTGTTTCCAATTTGGACCACACTTTTTCAAGTTGCCCTACCAGCACCTTCCAATAACAAGTAGGTTTTCTGATCGCATACTGCTCTGTCGCTGGTGGTTTGTTGCTAGCCTAGATTCCAGCCTCCAGTTGCCTAGGTAACTCTAATGTATGTTAGGGTATATCACTTAACAGTGTGCTGCGTTTTATTCATAGCTGCTCTAATCGCTTGCCTTAAAGCTGAGAAAGGTTTAACTCGGGACCCGCAGAGTAAGAAAGCAAAAGTTAACATAAACACCAAAATTTCTGGGGTTGAGATGAATTATTAAACACTTTAAGATAACCAGTTGCTGTAGAAATCTTTAAATTCAAGAATAATATCCTTATAATGGCATCTAGAAAAACAACAGTTTGAAGACAATAACATCAAAGTATTTAATATTGAATCATACAATTAAGCCTAAAAACATAGCTTCCTCTTGTTCTAATTTTGAGTCACACACAAAACAGTTTGATCATAAATAAAATAAATAACTGCTTTGAAAAATAATCAAAGTAACACTGAGAAGTGGAAAGAGTTTGGTATGTAAATATATGACAGATTTTGTATTAAGCAAAGCGGAAGAGAGCAAAAGGAGGATGTTCACAGGAAAAGTGACATCACAGAGGACAGGAGCAAGAAAATAATTATCACAGATGTGACCTGTTTTCTTCAGCTTAAATGAGCATTAGGAGGAAAAAGGAAAAGAAAAGAAGACAATCTGAGAAAATGGACTGCTGTGATGGCCCATTTATGAAACTAAAACCTTGGCACGCTCTACTGTTTTACTTCATTTCGGCTCTTCTGTTAAGTAGGTTTGAGAAGATTTGCAACATAAACTTGATCTCTGGATGGAAAATTGTCCAACAACAACAACTGTGGGAGAAACTGGGAGACAAACTCAGAGAAAGAGGACAGAAAAAGAAACTTACTTTAGCCAGCAGTGGTGAAGCCAGACGCTCTGTGACCGATTTAAAAGCCGCTGTGTGCTGCTGTTTGTAGCTCTCCTCTGTCTTCTTTTCCTTCTATATGCAAAACATATGACAATGACATTAATGTGCCCATACACGTGACAATATGAAAATGCAACGTATATGCAAGACTCTAATCAAGCTTAAACTTTTTAGGAGATTTTTTTAAATCAAAAAATATTGACAAACATATTGACGAATCTGGGACTAATCTCTAAATGATGTGATGAATAACACTGTGAAAACTTCATGACTTACTACTAATCTGTCCTACCTCATACTGTGCTGGACTCGGGGTCTCGACAGATTCCTTTTTGTAGAAAAGGGAGCTGCGTTGAGAAGAAGAGCCAAAGCCTCCCGTCTTGGTTTGAGAAAAAAACGCCTTTTTAAAACTTTCCCGGGCTAAGCCATGCTCAAAGACATTGTAGGAACCTGGACCTGGACAGACAGAGGTGTTCACTGTGCATTTTTACACACCTGACCTTAAATAAAGCAGTCCAGGACTACATCGTAATTGGTTGTTGTTCTACTTTCCCTCAAAACCAGCACTTGTTAGTTTTATCTGAAACAACTACGATGATGCAAATCTTGCCATTCAGGCACAGCTATTAGACACATGTTGCAGAGGTGTAACTTTGGCTTAGTGGCACATTTGGCAGGGTGTGTAGCATTCATGTTGTGCTGACTGGGAAGTGACATCTGTGCTACACCTGTGCTACAATAACTTTCATACGGAGGCATTTTACTGCTTTTCTAACATCTGTCTCCTCTGCAATATGTTGTGTTTACAGATGTACTTCAAAAAAAAACTGAAGAACGAACAAATGGTCCTTTGCACTTTAACCTAAGAAAATACATATTTGTTATGCAGAATTTGTTAACAGACACACATGACAAAATGCAGCAATATTCAAATATTCAAGGTAGCACAAGTGAAAAACATTAGCATATTCTCCTCAAGCTAAAATAAAACTAAGACTTTGCCAAAAACTTTTAAAAAAAGCAATAAAATATAACTAAACTATCTGTATAAAGTGAATCATCAGAACCATAAAAAATTAAGGCAGCTTCTTAAAATCAATCATGTGATGCATCACATCTGTCAGTTCTGCTCCACAGACTGCAGAGAGATGTTTGGAAAAGAAAATACAGAAATAGATTTAATGTTGGTGTGCTCGTAAAGTCTAAGGGTTGTTTTTACATAAATGACTGCTGTTCAAAGTAATATAGGTAGCAATGCCGAAATAGACGAGGCACTAGTTTTATTATTCCTTGTGTTGTATTTCAAAGGCTTAATGCAAGCAGACATCAGAAATTAATCATACCTCTATAAATAAGGGTTCACTCATGGGACAACACAGCGTGCTCTCTCACACACACACACACACACACACACACACACACACACACACACACACACACAGACACACAAGTCACGTCACTTTCATTTCTTTTCAAAATGTTAACACAAGCTGCAAAGTAGTACTTATTCTTAATTATTACTTGTTAAATTGAGTATAATGGCCATGTCAGGTTAAACTCTGATCTTTCAGAGAACATGGCTTGTTTAAAAAAGCATCAAAGGCTAATAAATACTGTCCTCTAACATTAAAAGGCAGCAATCAAGTGCAAGTCATGTTTGACATGGTATGAATATTAACTGAAAAGCCTCAGCTATTAACTAAGAGAAAGATCTATGTTTCAAAATCTGTGCAAAGCAAGAAACCCACAGTTTGGAGCAACAATTGATTACTAGATATCTGCTAAACTACATTCTACCGGTCAGAGGAAAATCACTGCCTGTGCATTCAAGTACACACAGACATACACACACACAACAAAAACATATACTGACCTGGTGTGGTGCCTTTTCTGTGGTTAGAAGAGAAGCGAGGTGCAGTGACACCGAATGGACTTTTCTTTATTCCTGAGGTCCTCTTCAGCAGCTCCAGGGCACAGCGCGGGTCATTATATGTACCAACAGGGGGCGACACTTCATTCACAGGGCCAAACCTCTAATGGAAAGAGAATAAAGAGAATGACACAGATGAACACGTGAAGGAAGAAACACAAAGTGAGGCGTCTTAAGTCAAGTATCCGGCACACACTGAAATTTCACAATTGAATGTTTAACAGCCCTCTTCTATCGATCAAATAGAGACCAACACAGTTTCATCTCCTCAGTGTCCATCTGGAACACAGTAACAAATCCAGCTGCAAATATCCACAGACTCCGCTTCAATCAGTCAAAGCTTTACTTTACCAGAGTCAGCTGGGCCCTCATCTCTGTCCAGGTCATTTGGGATGAAAAGCAGTGGTGGAGGAAGTTCCCATGGTGATATGGGTTTGTTTTTATATCAACAGTCTTTGTTCCTAATAAAGACGTTTTTTGGCAGAAGTATGAGCAAACATACACAGCTGAAAAAAATCAAGAGAGTTGGGGAAATTGTGTAATGATTGAACTGGGGTTAACATACAGTAGATATTTTGTTGGAGCACAGCAGGGCTTTGAGATGCTAATCTGCAAGCACTAGTTTGATTGGTTTAAACGACTACTGTATCACATTTAATAAACCTAAGTCATCAGCGTGATTAAGTTTCTCCCCTTAAAACCTAAATAAACTGAACAATACATTTTTAAAAATTCCAGATGTAGCAAATACTGTAAGATACAAATTAAAACTCATATATACAAATTAATATTTAATAATTATTTTTTAATACGTCAGAAGATTCAATAAACACTTCATTTAAAAAATAAATTTCTGGCAATTATTTAATAGTTCAGGCTTTAAAGGGTTAACATAAAAAACACAGGTGGGGCAGATGACATATCAATAGCATAAGCAGAGTAATAAATGAAAGTAAAGTTATTGCATTTCATCACGAGAAGGACACAAATTTCATGACAATTCATTCAAATACTCATTGAGATATTTCAATCAGTAACAAAGTCAGACAACAACACAAATCACTATCCATAAAGCCATAGTTCTTTCCTGCCTTTTTGCCTCAAATCTCAAATCCCAATTACATGTGGAAAAGCTCTTCTGACAAAACTAAAAAACACTAAAGGCAAAATAGAAAGAGCAAAAGTGATAATGAAATCAATGACACAAAAAATGAGAGCAGAATGCATACAGAGAGAACTAAGTGGCAGGATAGAAAATGAGATGGAGAAACAGCATCTTCAATGCAAAGATAATGATTCACACAATCAGGTATGTAATGTTCTTTGAACATTTTGCTGATGGCAGCCTCACTTCCAGGGTGTTTCTCTAATAGTCTATTATAACAACACAGGAAACCAAAGAACCAAAACAGATAAGTTGCCTTTTTAGTCAAGATTACTGAAGGTGAACTATGCTTCAGTTTAACTCACAACGGAACCATTCAGCAGAGGAATACAAATCACCTGATACCTTCAAATGGCAGCGAGGCTATATTAACAATGCCTACCCACACACAAACCACAGCCAATTCCTCAAATGACTGATGTTCAACTACAGAATGGTCTTAAATATAATGTATTTGGAGGCATGCCAATTATTGATTTACAGTTTGCATTTAAACAAGATGCAGCCTATGGAAAATTAGTTGTGGGGTAATGAATTGTGTTAGTAATGCACAGCTGAATTATTGAGCTTTTTTTTTTAGGTAAAAAAATGTGAAGGGAAAATAAAGGAAGAAAATATGTTTAGATGGAAGAAAAAAACTGAGTGAAAGTTGAAAATGACACAGTGGGGAAGTTTTTTGGGTTCGAGATTGAAAAGAGAAGAACAAGAATGACAAGAAGAGCTGTCTCAGGGCCAAACCACACTATTTTTTCAAACGCAGTTATAGAGCGGGGGTTTGTGACCATCTGTCAATCTGATTCTGGCTTACTGGCTCTGAGTAAAGTCCTGTTAACAGGCACATTTTCCCTCTTTAACTGACATGCTGAGCTTTGTTACCACTTCACATGGATGCTGGATTTTTTTTCTGCTTCCTGTTGTTCCATTTTTAAGCACATATGATGAAAAATGCCAGAGCAACTCTTTTGAAATTCAAACTCAAAGCCAAAATGTTCATTGGCACTGTTGAGTATTTCAGTGACAGAATGTTATAATGACTGTTAAAGTGAAAAATGAAGACACGGAGAGAAGTGAGACTATAGCCCAAGTACAAGAGCTCTCACTGGTGCCATTTGGCAACAAACAGCTATAAGTTACACTGTTAATGTCAGTTTATACTAAGCAGAAAGAAGGTGGACTACAAAAAGTGAATCCTATGGTGGCACAAAAAGGCCAAGATGTATAACCTTAGCCAAAATGTCTACGCATACACAGGGTGGGTGACGTGAGTGTTTTTTTACATGGTGTGTTAGTCCACTGAGCATTCAATGTCAGGTCTGAAGAACGTAACGTGTATGTGGGTTTGTGTAGGTCGGAAGAAAAAGGACAAAAACTAGGAGAACAACTAAAATTTCTGATAAATTCTGAGATTATTTTGAGTCTGAGCTGTTTCACAAATTCAGAATAGAAAGACTCAGCACACATGCTGCCAGTGTGTAAATTGCTAATAGGCTAGAGCTTGACTCAGCACTCAGCAGAGACAGTCAAATTTACATGAATAAAGTGAGATAATGAGTTCTTTGAACAGAAATAATTGTATAGCATTAAAGACATTCTTTCTTGAGTTTAACCCCCTAGGACCTGGCGTCCACATATGTGGACATCACATTTTGGGTTATTTAGACCAAAATACTCAATTTTAATCTACAAGGGCCTGATATCCACTTATGAGGACATTATACTGCTACTGTTGTATCGAAATTTTAAATGAATGTCCTTATATGTGTCTCTCATTTTTCTTAGAAACAAAAATTAGGTTAAAAAAATATCTGGTAATTCTTTGTTTTTACATTGATCAGGTCCCAATCAGCCCAAAAAGTGAAATTAAAAATGCATGCCGTGGAAAAGTTCGGGTCTTAGGAGGTTAAAGAACAAGAATTGGGTGATGCTGTATTTTACCTTGACAAGCCCGAGGCTTATTAACTTCTCTTTTTGAGCATGATTGACTACAAATGGTAGTTTGTCTTTGACAGCATAAAAAGGATTTGTTCTACAGCACTCTTGGACTGACCAATACTCAGTGCAATGGAAAAGTTAATGGAAATCAGTGAAGATCTAAGAAGCAGACTGTAGATTTAACTACGATCATTAGTCCTAACAACTATATGTAAGTAGAAGTTGTTCGAATGTGTCACCATTTGTAGTGGTGACACACCTTGGGTCTGGAAGAAGACCCAAGGTGTGTCACCCACAGACAAAAAGAAATTGGTGCAGATTTCAGAAACCAATAAGGCTCAAGTTGGTCATTAACTGGTCATTAACAGTGTCACTGTTCACAGTGAAGTGAGTTTTTGATTGCCGTGGACCAAGATGGTGCCAACGAAGAAAGAAAGGAAAATCAAAACCTCAGCTGAAAGCTGCAACTGCACACGTGGACGAGCCAAATGGAGGAAGGTTTTATCGTCAGATGAGACAGATTGAGCTATTTGGCCTCACTGACAAGAGTAATGTTTGATGGGGTAAAGGTAAGTCTTTCAATCCTAAGAATACTGTACCAAGAAGAGAGGTCAAATATCCAGCCAGAGTAAGATAAATAAAGATGTATACTGTACAATTACACAGGAAAAACAACAGTTCAAAAGAAATCATTAAAAGGCAGAAATTACCATGATATACATGCCCATGATGAGTGTATGTAAATTTCTGACCACAACTTTAAATACTATCAGTGTGCTGCACATTAAACTCAAGGCTTTGTTTCTAGGCCACATCAACACTAAGGGAGTAAGGAACATCACGGTTTGTACTAAATCACATCTAGATCACAAACAATAGCATCTGCTAGATAATGTTGTCTTCATAGCTTAGCTACCATTTTCCATTTGTATTCAAATATCAGATGACAAACGCGATGTCTTCTTAAACACTCTATACTGACGCATACATGAAATTCATTTTTTATGTTCTCAGGTTGTCTCTGCACAGCATCAGCTGCAGAAACATTTCTAAGCTCCTTTTAGGATTTTGTGAGAGCTTCACGGCTCTATGCTTATTCAAGCATTATCATCTATAAATAAAAAATAAATAAAATCACGCAATCCACAGACCGTGATTTTTATTAAAATGTGTGGATTATATGAGGAGCGATCAAAAAGTTTTGTGGCTCAACCAATAAAAGGCACCTGATTTAAATTTAGCTGTTCTACCCTTCAAGGTTGTCACACATCTGAATTCACATGAATTCATGGAGCAAAGCCTCATAAATGTCGAAAAATGACAGGCAATCTCCTGTCTGCATTCCTGATCTCATGAGACACTTTAGGGCTTAAAGATTGTGAACTCCTTCGCTGAAGACTGCTGTTTGCTGTCTGTGTCATAACCACTGATTATACTTATCATAAACGTTGGATCACGGGAAGTCGTCCAGAGGTATGTATGCAGAGACGACCTTGAAGAGGATGGTGGATGAATTTAATTTACATATTTTCTTCATCTACCTTTTGGTTTGTTGTGTACAGAGTCCCAAAACTTTTCATTTTCACATCTTAGTGATTATTTACCATCAAATTCAAAAAATGAGGGTATGGGGAGAAGCAGAAAAAAAACAACCAAACAAAAACATGGGGACAAATACAGAAACGCATTAAGTATAGCACACAGAAAGGTCTTACAAGCGATCAGACAACGAGTAAATAAATAAAGGGACTGGACGACTGGAAGAGTGAGACCAAATAAAATCCATGTTTTCACAATGTGTCAGATTGATGCTTTGATATTGGAAAATTGGGAAGTCAAAGGGAGGAGAGATGAGAACTGGAAGATTCCAACTGTTCCTCTTTTATCCTTGCCTCTCTTGCTTCTTTCACCCCTCCCTCCTTTCCTCGTTTCCTTTCCATCCCTCCACAGGATAACAGTGTCAGATGGAACCGGACTCACAGTGAGACGAAGATCTAAGAAAACTGTCGCTCTCAGTACTTCACTGAAGATGACTTGTGACACATGCACGCACACACACGCTTCTTGGTGGGTGTCAGTGACGACATCACAGGGTCGATGCACCAACACAGCATGTGGTCGAGGAAATTAGGTCATAGCAAACTGTGACACACACACACACCCATGCATGCACACACATGCATAAAATACATCCAAGAATCTAGCATTGGCCGTTTTCACCAGTAAAACTTTTACGTTTTAGATCTAATAAAGGTAGTTTTTGGAATGTGTTTATGCATGTGTGTGTATATCCCAACTGTGCTTGCATATCAGCAGCAACTTGAATCTGAATCTGACTGCACCTAATATACACACAATCTGAATTCGTAATTATGTGTGAGAACATGCACTATCACGTGTGTCAGAGCGATAATGAAATCAGTCTGAGAATTTCACAGGACTAGATCTGTGGGCCAGTGCCACGGAGGAGGAGAAGACAGCTATTCTTGAAACGTGAAACTACACATTTTCACGTCCTTCATCTTCGCTCCTCTGAGCCTCTTAATAAACTCATCTTCACCCCTATCTGAAGAATCCCTCCCATCCCAGCACATCAATTAAACAAGCCAAGAAGGGCTCAGTGTTGTGGATCTGTAACTGATCTGAAAGTATTTCATATTAAAAAGCAATCTCCTTTGAGATATTGTACAGTAAATTGAATATATTTGATTCCTGTAGATTATGTCCAAGCCATCATATATTTCAGCCTGTCATCAGACTCAGAGCTATGAGACCACTGGTTTGAGAAAAGAAGAAACACTTTAGGACTGTACCTGGTGTAGTACTGTCTAGTGCTATATATAGCTTATAATGGGACTGACTACATGAAAAGAATTCAGATTAGGAGGGAGTTGTCTCAGACAGTGGATGAACTAAGAGGTTGTACTATGGCGCAGTATAAAATAGATAAAGATTTGGAGTCTAAGAATAAATTTATGGATTTGCAAAATGACCGTAACAGTTCCTCTTTGAAAATGATAAAATATAAAGGTGTGTCACCAACCCCTTTATTCATATTCTATCTTACAATCAATATCATGTCAACTAGACACTTGCTGCAGTTGCTAGGAGACAGCTAACTACTACATAAATACCTAACTGTAGTACAGTAGCTAATGGGGGTTATAACTCTGATACAAACAGAGGTTTAATTAATAGATGTTAATAATAATGATTTATTTTTACATAAAATTAAAAGTAGAGAAATTATAGAAGCATTCTTGCATTTAATCTAAATCTGTCAGATCGTGCAGACCAGAGGAGAGGACCCAAATGCAGTTGCATGGACACAGGAGCTAAGTGAAGGCAAGCCGTTTATTTAGGCTGATAGACAAAAACTAATACAAACATGAGAAAACCAAACAAATTACTAAACTAGAAAGCTAAACTGGGAAATTAAACACTAGAAACCTGGAAGCCTTGGAACATAGAAACACATGGGAGGTAAACAGATGCTCTCACAAAGGACCAAGGAAAGCAGAGACAATATACACAATGTGGGATGATCAGAGAAGTGGAAATACATGGGAACACAGCAGGAAGAAATTTGCACATAACGAGACAATGGAAGCAAAACTAAAAACCATGCACATCAGATGAGGGACTGACAAAATAAAACAGGAAGTAGCATGCACAGCAAGACTCAGACAAGGACACACAAGCTTGACACTAGGACAGGGATAAACAAACACGAGAGAACACAAAAGGCAGGAAGACAAGGACGAAACACAAGAAGAACATGGGAACAGGTAAGGGAGACAAAACCCCAAGACATAACTGGGATAAGATAGAGAGAGAGCAGGAGACACAGAGCATGAAAACAAACAAACATGGAACCATGGCAGACCTAACATGGAAGATCCTAAGGGCAGAACATAAAGGTGAGTGTAAGAAGACAGGAGGAGAACACTAAAGAAACACTAAGACAAGACTGAGGGATTACAAAGTTATTGCAATACTGCCCAGTAAGATACAAATAAATGAACTCACATAAAATCAATGCAACAGCAACACGAAAACCAATACATTAAACTGAAATATACCATATTATCCTGAAACCAACATGGGTTACCACAGACCTGTCTGGACTGTACCTCAGTTTTTGAGAGGAAGGTACAAGAGAATTTCGGCAGGCCACCAGGCTCAACAGGTTTCTCAAACTGACTTCTGATGTGATACTGGCCTGGACCAGGAACTCCCTGTTGGGAAACAGAAAGTGAAATTTACAGTACATCAAAGGTGAAATTTATCGGGATGCATTTAAATGATTTGCTAATATCACCTTTCGTGTAGCTGTGTCAATAAGAAAAACAGGAGAAAAGCTGAGGAAGTGAAAGAAACAGAGGATAGGATGCAAGGACAGAGTTTCTGAGATTGCGCTTTCCTGTATCTCTTATGAATGATGAGCACTCACTGGCAAGGAGATGAGGCTGAAATATTAAGAAGATCGAACGGAAAAAGAGCAGAGAAAAAAAATGCAGCTAATGATGAGTAACTTGTGAATACATACAGGAAAAAGCCCTTTTCTTTCTCTGCTCTCCAATTAAGTCATTTATGTAAAGAAACAGAGCAGAAAAAACAATCAGCATTAAGTGTGCACAGTGTTTGTGCTTTTGTGTGACCGAGCTGTAATAGTCATGTCATACGCCAACTTAAGAAGACTACGTAATTTTGAGGCAGCAATCATTGCATCTGGCAAAGCAGCAAACAGCACTCACAGAGAGGCTGACAGTGAGAGGCTAAGAAAACCTGGACACTTTCTTACAATCACACCTACGCACATTTCCACGCTGCCTGATACGGAGCTGGGCATTTTTCTGTCGGTTGGAAAACAACAAGGTTTCTCTGCTGCAGGTGGTTTAACTAGTTCTGCAGTAAAACATCACAGAATTCTTTGGCCATTGTTAGCACTGTGAGGGGGAAGCTCAGTGAACCTCTGGACATTCCCCATGCCATAGTACAGCTCAGAGTCTATTAATGAACAATGACTATATTGCCCTCTTATTTCCTTTCCTCTTAATCAAAGTTGCCACGGTGTGCTTCACGTACAGTAAGACTGCCACCATTTTCTTAGGAAACCTGTTTTACTGATTTGCAGCACATACCTATAACATTTTTTCCACATTTAATAATGATAAGAAGATATGTGCCTGTTTTGTCATTCATAAGAATTTGGTTTGCAAAGACTTTCTGAAGAGATTTACAATGCTTTTATTTCATCATTGCATATGCAAATACATTTGCATATGTGCTCAAAAAGAGTCTTCAAAGCTGGCTGGTTAAAATCAAATCCAGTAAAATACATGTGTAACTTGAGAGAAAGGAACTCTGTGTAAAGGTTTCTGCATGCAAGTTATTGCCAAGTGTTCAAGAAAAACTGTATTCTACATGAGCACTCAAAGCACTTTATATAACAGACCTCATTCTCCCATTCATACAAGCACTTTTCCCCCCCTAAGCTTAAATGCTTTCTGTCTAACTTTCACACTCCGATGGATGCATCAGAGAGCAGCTCAAGGGTTGCCCAAAGATATCTGCCATGCTGTCTGGAGTAGCCAGGGATAAAACCATCAACCTTCCGATTAGTAGATGACCTGCTCTACAGCCACGCCAACTTTTTACAACTTCTCTATTATTTTAGGGTCTTTGCCTTACAGCATAAAGTACTTTGAGGAGACCATGGTTGTGATTTGGCTGTATTTACATAAAATTGAATTAAACAGAACTTTAAGCTTTTGTGTAGTGTCTTTGTTGATACAGTTTTAAATCAAACCATACAGTATATAGACATTCTTAATTTTTTTTACAAAGATAACAATGCCTTTCTGTCCCAACACACATATTATAATTAAAACGCCTTTAAATGAATATATTGCATGCCCAATAGGCTCAATTTACAGTTTTAGAGGTAGGTAATCCTGTAAGTTAAACTTCCTGCCAAGAATTCTTCCTTCTTCCCCCCTGGGAGCTGTGCTGCTTCCCTGTTTCTAAATATATCACATGCTGCAAACATAATATCACCACCCGTGATAACATTAACATGATATTCACAGCATTTTAAAGGTGAACTGACAGTCTAATTTGTATATCCAGGGTTATATCAGACACTGCACGGGTACAACTTTATCTGTTTTTCTTGTGTTTGCAGGGATGCACACTGTAATGGTATCTTAAAGTGGTTTGCTCAGATATTGCCCTAGCTATGTCAGAATGTCTATTTAATGGGTAAATCCTGCACACAGACTCTTAAAGTCTATAGGACACCAGCAGCCCCGAGCCATTAGAGGCAGACTGTCTGCTGCTCTCCAGGAAGTAAAGGTGTTTGTCCTGAGTGTCCCCACTGTGGGAAATGACCCATCTGGTCAGTGTATGTATGTGTGGGAGTACATATGGATTGACATGTGAGATACTAATGATGACGGATGGAGGTGCAACCAACATGGTTGGGGGTCCAAATACAGCATATAGAACACACAAAAAATACACAGACAGTAAAGTCAGTGAGAAATTTCAGGTAAATTGAAGGTACGTGTTTAAACAAACTGTTTAACGGTTAAATATAGATAAAGAAAAGTGAAGAGAAGTAAAACAGCAATAAGAGGCTGTGAGAGACAAAAGGAAAACAAGTAATGGGAAAAGCATAAATGACAACAAAAAAAACTAAACGGTGCATTTACCTTTTTTCATGAAATCCAGCCTTCACCTCGCCCTCTCTAACCCACCGATCGGTAAAATAAGGCATCACAGAGCATTACTCTGCCAGCACAGTCAAGTTCATATGCAGGTGAATAACTACCCTCTACTCATCCACTTCCAATATATTCGTCTGTAGTAAAAGCTTATGTTTTACTGCCCCCTATGAGATGAACTAGTGAACTGTCTTTCAGCTTAGAAAAATCCATTAGGAATCCAACATATTTACCCGGTTCTCCATGTAAAAATCACACGTTAGTTACCTGTTAATCAAAGGCCTGTTGTTGAAAGGTACTACCATATACATTGTATTTTAGTGTAATTAAATAATAACATGACATGCTCAAACAGAAGGTTAGAGGACTCATTAGGCGGGGTCAGAGGCAGTGCTCATTTTTCAATCATAATGTGATTATGATGGCTTTACATTAAATGGTACTTACAAAAGGACCATAACACAGAGATCATTTTTATAATTAAGTGTGATTAGATTTATTTGTGGTCAGCATGCAGCATTCTCAGGAAGAAAAAAAAAACACATAGTGTGACAGTGCTGTTAGTAAGTTTCCTGCCTCAGCTTGTAGCACAGCTCACTTTGTGTGCTCAAGCTTGTTTTTCCTCAGTCTTTTTAGTTCCAAGGTTGGTTAGTGCCTTAAAAATAGCAGGTTCTGCTGTCTTGTTATTTTTTCTGATTTTAGAGTAAGACTACTGAAACAAATATGAGAAAATATCATAAAATATATAAGTAACACAAATAAAATTAAGCCAGTGACTTCAATGTCTATTATTGAGCATAACTGAGCAAGATTATTTAATAATTGAATGGACACATTCAAGTCTTTGTTTTACAAAAGCATAATTCAACATTATTCTTGTGCTGTATTGTACTATGTTGGCTAATAATTCATACAGCAATAGCTCAAATAACTACAGTGCTGTGAAAAACCTACCTCACCCCATGTGAAAAACTAACTACAAATGGAGAAAACTTTAAACCAAGGAGAAAACCACTGCTGACCAAAAACAACACAAAGCTTCGTCTCACATTTGCCAAAAAACATCCTGATGATTGCAGACACTATTGGGAAAATATTCTGTGGACTGATGAGACAAAAGCCAAACTCTCTGAAAGTTCTGAGTCCTGTTAAATCTGGTGTAAAACTAATGCAACATTTCACAAAAAGAACATCGTACCAACAGACAAACATGATGGTGGTTGCATCATGGTCTAGGACTGCTTTGCTGCTTCAGGACGACTTGCCATAGTTGATGGAGCTGTTCTGCTCTCTACAAGAAAATCCTGAAATCGAATGTCCAGTCATCAGTTTCTACCTTGAAGCTCAAGAGCACTTGAGATAGATAGATGCAGCTGGACAATAAACCAAAAAAAAAAAAAAAAAGTCTGGACTTAAATTCAAATTTGAGATGATTTGGCATGACCTTAAACATGCCCTCCAAAAGTGATGAGAAATAAATCACTGTCAGTTGCTGCAAATGCTTGACTGCAGTTCTTGCTAGCAAAGGTGGCACAACCAGTTATTAGGTTAAGGGGCAATTACTTTTTCACACAGGGCCAGGTAACATGTAAGTGGAACTGGATGTGGAAGGGGAGAAATACTTGTTCATGATACTGCATAAGTTAGTTGCTGTCAGCTCTGTAGAGCATTTGTGTGTTAGTGTTTTGCCCACTGTTTTCACAAGCCACAGCTTTATTTTTCAGCTTTACTTTGATCAGTCATTTTTTGGCAGCAACAAGAAACTTCTCTTAGCCAAAATGATCCTATAAACTAACTGACAGATACATGTTCAAAAACTAAAAGACTGAGGGACCAGTTCGTGAACATAGTGGAGTAGTCATCAGCTAAAGAGTCAGTTTAGCTGATGTCTTTACAAAAGACCTGTAGACCAAAAACAAAGATGAAAGGAGAGTGAATATCGCACTGACGTTAATCAAGTAAATAGAGACGTGACTCAGTAAACGTTCTGTGTCTGCTTGATGTCTGCTACTGCGTTCACCACTAGGCTAACAGCGTGATAGCACTGGAAGGTGCTGGATTTTGCTGACATTTTAATTAGCACTTGTGACCAGAATGGCCACTCTTTAGGATAATCATTTGGGTTACTTAGAATGTGAATCTCCTGTCACTTAAAGTTGGCTCCAAAGTCAAGTCAATCCCCAGATGCTCAGTTTAAAACTTTACTTGCTTGATGCAAAAACTGTTTTGGATTCTATGGCTAATTTTTCTCTTTATTCCCACTTTCTTTTTTAATAACAAACAGGTTTAAACTGAACTAAGAAATAAAAGTAATCAAGATCATGTGCATCAGCACTCTATGTGACATATGGGTGCCAACCAGAGGGAGTTGTGTGTTTGCTAGGTGTCACCTCAGCTGATTCCAGTCATTGAACTAGACCTCTTGACTGTGTTGGCAGTGTTTGTGAGCATTTTAATGCATTTATTGGAAAAATTATATGGCTTGTATTTACTGTAGTGATCAATGCCACCTTGGCTGCATCAGCCTTTTCCATACAGATTGTGAGCTCAGAGTTTAACCTTGATTCATGCCCTCTAAAGCTTTTTTTTTTATCATTGATTTAAACCTTTATATATGGAATCAAAGGGATACAAAGTCATGCCAACCCACCTTCTTTTCTGCCTGCATGGACACAAGTTCATGGTAGCGAGGGATGGCAAGCTCAACTCTACCTCTCTGATCCTTTTGAAGGTTCACATTCTCGTACTGTGTTTCTGGGACCCTACAGGAAAAAGAGGCAATGACAATGTCTTTCAAAATAGAAAACATAGGCAAACAAGTATAATATATACAAAGGGGGAGGTGTTCAAAAGCATACAAAATAGAACAGAAAAAATGAGAATTGGGGAAAAAATATACTGACTGAGTGGCAAAGACAAATGTGGAGTGGAAAAATAAATAGAAAGAGAACAGCAAAGCAAAGAAAGTGGGAAGCAGGGAAGAAGAGTGGAAAGTTATAATCCAGAGTAAAGGAGCTCATAAGGATGAAATGCCTGTAATAACTGTAACAGGAGCAAAGACTGAATATACTGTTATTTTTAAACATTTCCAGTAGTCACATGTGTGCCACAGACATGGCTGTGTGGATGTTTTAATGTCTACCTGCACCAGTAAACCACCTTCCTTTTTATTACTTCTGCTGCCAAGGGACAATGATGCTCGAATGGTTTGGGTTCTGTTTGATCAGAAGGTCAGAGTTTCAGCCCCAGCCACCACTAAAATTAACCTGCTGAACCCTTTAGCAAGGCTGCTAACCCTTTCTGATAAAGATGTACCATATCATCGCTGACACCAGCTGTCTAACAACGGTGATGCACAGTCAAAAGAATTACACTGTGCTGCAAAGGAAACGTGACAAATAAGGGCTTCTTCTTTTTCTTCTAAGTCAATTCCTTTATGAATAGCTGAGCTGAGTGTGTGCCCACCCATGTAGAAGTGCTTAGTAAGCGCCATCCTCTGTGGCCATCAATAGAAATGGTATTTGAAAAATGTCAACTGTAATGCTCCAGCTATAGGATCAAAGTAATATTTCACTTTGGAAGAGCAGCCTCTCTATTCAGCGCACATCTTGGTAAGAGTTCAAGAGCAGTGAACATCTGAGATCCCATGCAGGGTAGAGTCTTATCTAACCACCCTCTCAGCTCCTTGCTTCAAGATGTGAATTTGTGAAAATAAATGTGGTTAGCCATCAAATCAATTTAAATATCAATATTTCAGAACTGCACATGATGCTACATGGTTGTTTGGCAAGGCTCTCCATAGGTACTGCAAACTTAAGGAGTTCCTAGAGAAAACTTACAGAAAACCAGGCATGTAACTTCAAGTTACATGCCTGGATTGTTAATTAGCTGTCCATGGGACTGTTTCTAGCAATGATGTGATACTCACAGTTCGGGGTCATATTGTCCTGGAGCTGGTCCCACATCCACCTTCTCCTCAGATCTCCTCCCTGTCATGTTGCCAAAGTGGATCCCTTTATATTTCTGTGTAGAACTCGTCTCC